ATCCACCTCTGATGCTCAAGTCTGTTGAAAACAAAAAGTGTCTTGACTAAAAAGATAAGTTTAAATGAGGACAAATTTACCAACGAAGTCAAACAACTGGCTGCAGTTTTTCTTCAAAGAAAGTAACAATTTTCTGTTTGCTTGGAAGGTGTATCTCTGGAAACTATACTCATCGAAAATTTTCATAAAACGTATACTGATCAAATGTTACATGCACATCAAAGCCCCCTGCTCAACTCTGTCCGCCTGTGGATTACCTGAATGCACTCAAAAGAACGATCTCGTCAATCCTTTTATTTCAAACAGGCTCTCCCAGAAAGCCGATCTCAGATCTTGGGAAGTCCACCTCTTCTACAAGTACTAGACGTTTTGTAACGGCGAATCACCTGGGAGATACAAAATCAACTAGTCGGTACAGCACAGACTGAAATCAATAGATTTTAACTGCAGTGACGTCACGATATACAACTGATCTACCCAAGAACAGGTGCAATTTCTTGTTCTTTCTTCTTTTTTATAGAGATGATTATGAACACCAACAACACCAATAAAAGTCCCAGGAACAGTCCTCCAAGGATGATAAGATCCTCGATGTCTTTCACGATTCCTATAGTTAAAAGAACAAGTCCTATAGACAGACCAAGAACAACGCTGATGCCTGCAGCCAAGAAGCTGGAAAGTCGTGCCATGATAAATCCTTCACAATTTCATATAATATAATGTTGTTTACGTTAATTGTGGTCCTTGACAAGGATTTCTATTTTTACAAATAAATTATTGCTATTGACATGTACGTTTTATTTCGAAATTCACACCTGACTGAAATCAATAATCTATACGACATTTAAATTTCGAACCTATTCAAACACAAAACAACAACAACTAATAATAATAATAATATTTAAATAAATAAAGAAAATGGTGGCAATTTGAAAAAAAAAAACGATTTCGGTATTTTGATATTGTTATGATTAAGTCCAGTTTGACATTTGTCGGGAAATGAACTCATCATCTGTCTTTTTTTTCCTTTGTTCAATTTTCAAAGCCACAAATGGAAGAATTTTGAGTCAGTATTATTATATCCGCGCTTTTTAAAGACAGTTCCGTTATATTGTTGTGATCCTGCTCCACCTGTCCGTCAGTCTGTCACACTACCTTCTACCACAAATTGCTCTAATATTTTTTAATACACTATAGGTAATTCATCTCTTGGAATATGATTGGTGGTGTAATAAGGTTTGGGAATTTCGGTTTCACCTGAAGGGCCAACAGGGGGTCGAAAAATTACGTTTTGCTAGGTAAAGCTTGTTTCCAGAAATTGTCTCAGAATTAACAGTGTAGCCAATTTATGTATTTTTGGATTTTGATTGTTGGTGTCCTGTAGATATGTAGTAAGCTTTCTGAATTTTAATTTCTTTTTTCACCTAAGGACTTTATAGGGGATGAAAGACTACGTTTTTCTACGAAAACATGTTCCCAGAGCTCCTCTTACATTTCACGCAGAAGCCAATTCATCTTTTGGAATATGACTGGTGGTGTCCTACTGTCCTTTAGATATACAATAAGGCTTTTCACCTAAGAGGTTGAAAAACGACGTCCTTGTACAAAGACCTTGTTCTTATAATAACTCCTCTGCATTCTTACACAGTAGCCAAATCATCTTAAAGAGTATGAATGTTGGTCTAAATCTTGTATAGATGTGCAATAAGGTTTCAAAAGTTTCACTTTCAACTTTGATGCCAGTTGGTATCGAAAAACGAAATCACAAAATTTTACCAAATTCAACGACACAAAAACTTAAAAACGACTTTTCAACTTTATATACAACGGGCCATTCCCCATGATAAATTAAAGTCCAGGCTTTTTGATATCATTGACAGCTGCTTTTTCAATAAAAATGGAACTCGTAAATTTACTTACCTTGCCATTGGTCATTTGCAAAATTATTTTGTTAAAAACATTCTAATTGTACACACAGGTACTCTGAAGTTATTATTAAAAAAGATGCTTGAGTTTCTGATTGACAATATCTACATGTATGTGGTTTTTTGGAGACCAGGTCTTTCAACAATCTGTTGGAACTCCCATGGGTACCAATTGCACCCCGTTATTAGCAGACCTATTTTTGTATTCATATGAAGCAAAATTTGTTCAAAATCTTGTACGTGAAAAGAAAACACTTGCTGTGGCCTTCAACTCGACATTTAGATATATCGACGACGTACTGTCAATTAACAATGGTTATTTCCATTCGTATGTCGATACGATATATCCCAATGAGCTTGAAATAAAAGATACCTCAGTCTGACACTTCTGTTTCATATTTGGATATTTTACTAGAAAAAGACGTTAATGGAAATCTAACAACCAAGCTTTATGATAAATGTGATGACTAACTTTTCAATCGTCAACTTCCCTTACTTATGCAGCAATATACCTTTCATCACCTATCTTTCAGTTGATTCGATACGCAAGAGCATGCTCTACGTGTGACCAATTTCTAAAACGAGGTAAGTGATTGACAAACAAGTTGATGAAACAAGAATATCAGCAGTCTCGTTTAAAGTCGTCATTTCGTAAGTTCTATGGTCGATACAATGACCTTGTCAGCAAATATCATTTATCATTAAGTCAAATGCTGACTGCCGTTTTTCATACTAATTGTTAGGCCATTATTTACAAACTGAATTGTCGACGGATTTTTCCGTTATTACCCGATCATGACAAGGAGCATATGCGGGTGTGACCGGTCGGCAGGGGATGCTCACTCCTCCATGGCAACTGATCCTACCTCTGATGTTTTAGAGGTCCGTGTTTGCTCTGCTCCAAAATTTGCATGTTTAATGGACTTTTGAGCTTGAATACTGTTCGTTATCCCCATACATTTCATTATATGAAAATCCGATTCCCAGAACTCCTCGTTTTACGCATTAGCCAAATTATCTTTTGAATGTTTTGTGGTGTCCTTTAAACGTGCATTCAGGTTTCGGAATTTTTATTTTATTATCAAAGCTGCTCGATGTTAAACCACATTAGAATTCACATATGGAAGAGAAATTAATACGATATGCAGTGTAAATCTTCACGTCCAATAAAATGTACTATTGACATCGAAAAATATACATGTATATGTATATCAAAGGGGTTTTCCAACAATTGCTCAAGGTTAAACCAAACTGCAAGCATACTTTGATATTGTGAACGTTTACACATACCTGGGTACATGCTGCTTTATAAGAATTTTTACATTACTATTGAAAATATCTACAAGAGAACAAAGTCGAAGGAGAGCTATCTTAAACTGGAAAATGTATCAAATGTGTAAAATGCTATACTTATTGTTAATCAAATGTTGCTAAAATTACAGGTATATTTGCATACAAAAGCAAATGGCCATCGTTTAGAAATTTCGTCTCTGCACTGTAAAAAATGTGCTTAGGAAATAAACACTTCTATTACGTGTTTAGATCTAAACGTGTTTGATATTGTGTTTAACAACAAAACACTTATGTCTAAATGTATTTAAAATCTATACGCGTTTAGATATTGAACATGTTTTTTGTTTTAAATTCGGTCAAATGCAGAGTTATCTTCCCGGAAATGATACATATTTAAACGTTAATAAGCGCGGTTGTCGAAACAAAGAAAATCACAACAAAACAGTAAACGATGTTTTCAAGAAAGCTGATGGGAACTTGAGTGCCAACCACCACAGAAATAGTGAAAAACATGTGAAAGGCTCATTGTTATTGCTGTAGGGTATGTATACTTTTGTTTTTATATTAAATAAACATGATGAGCAAAGTAAATAACATTGCACTTTATACCAAGGATGTTTTCGGTGTTATATCATGTATTCATTAATGAGAGTAAATATTGAATCTATAGTTGCAATAATATTTATTTAAACATTTTTATTATATGCTTAGTAAGTAATGTAAAACTTCAGCATGTTCAGTGAGGAGCACATACTTTTACTTAAATGCAACGTACGTCCTTTCTTGCAGGTTAACTTAATTGGATAGCCGAGAGAAAGAACAAAATTCATTTCTGATAATGGATGTGAGTTATACTGCCGTAGAAAATATCTTCAAGATTATCCAGATACTCTGCTGCTTTGTTTACATCACGACGGATTTGAAATAGTGATCCGTATTGCATCACACTGCAAGAAGCACACCATAGCTGGAGTCTTTTACATGTTTATTTACTGTGTATTGTGCTACTGGTACAAAATGCAGACAATTCAACACAGTTCAACATATATGTCAAAACTTCTAAAAGACTTTGTAACAAACAATGGAAACCATTCACAAGTAAAAGGAATTCCACCGAACAATGATTCCGTGACTGCGTGAGAACACTTTACTGTGTGTTAGGCCTTTTTTTTTTATCATTTTAATATGATGTTTAGAAGTAAATAAAACTTAAAACGGACACACCTGTTATATGTTTGGTTTTCTTGCAGATCCTTGTTTAAAACATTGATATGTTTAGCTTCTAAACGCGAATCAAAGTGTTTAGAATTGTGTTTAACCTCTAAACATGTATGTATTTAGGTTTAAAACACTTTCCATTACGCGTATTGAAATTCAACATGTTTAAAATTTAAACGCATTAAAAAAAGTGTGACAAGAATGTGCTTAGAAATGTGTCTATCATCTAAATACATTTTTTACAGTGTGGACTTCAATTATGCGTCGCAACTTCTTTAAACAAAACAATTCAAATTGTGAAAGCACTTCCCCCCTCTAATTCTAAATCAAGTCATTGTCAAATGTGCATGCAAGTATGTAAGCTTGTCAATTTTAAGGGAAAGGAACCACCTTGTACAAGTGGTCAGTACACTTTTTAGGTAACGCAATCTTCATGAAATGGAAATATTCATCACAAATTGGTTTAAAAGATATTGAGATTTGTAGTCCCCACAAATGGCATACATGTTCCTTGATATAGCTCGGTAAAACTTTTGGGATAGATAAAAGAAACTCAACAAATCGTCAATAGAAATGTTCTGTCATTGTAATGAACATCTCAAAGTAGACATGTTTCAAATTTGTTGCAAAGAGAGGATGATCATGTTAAAAATAAATATAAAATTGATGGATATGTATGGAAAGACTAAATTGACAGAATGCCTCGCCTAAAGGCTAAATGAAAAACGTTATTACAATACTCCAGTACCTAGTAATTTATAGAATATAACTCAATAAATTATGAGACCTCGAATGAGACAGAGAAATAAATTATCTTCCAACTGATGTTCTAAGACTATGATAAAACTGTTCAATGTTCATCCCTTGCTGTTATTGTTTTAATATCAAGAAAATTCCCTCTCCTCGTCATTTTGAGGTAAAATCCACCACTTTGAAGCTTAGTTTTGAGGTCAGAGCATACCCGTTTTAATCTCAGTAGAAAGTCACACGTTTCTTCTTTCCGTAAGTTTCAACCGGACGTTGCAAACTGTGAGCACTATTCACTCTAGATTTCACATCCACGATAACACTCTCCGCACGTCTGTGTCCGTCGATGGATTCGTCATCCTGCTCATTGCCAATCTGAATACGCTCAAAAGAAGCAACCGTTGACTTCAAGTCATTATCACTCCGAGAAAACCCGACATTCTCGTGACTGTACGACCTTATAAAATCCTCGTCTTCTACCCTCCCGGACTTAATGTAAGGGCGGATCACTGTTGAAAAAACACAAATGCCTACAAAAATTGTGAACACTAGAAATATGGACCCTAAAATAACCAGATCTTCGATATCCTCAAAAATTCCAATAAATAGAAATGTCACGCCAATGCCGAGTACAAACAGTGTTAGCAACACGCCACTTAGTAGGTTCCATTTATTCAGGGGCGTTCTCCCCAGATCATCCGCCATTGTTTGGCGCGCTTTTCTTGAGCATCTTCAGGCGAAAATGGTTTCTGTAAATACAATTTTTACACCACAGCTACTATGTATATTTGTAATTACTTTGTATATATTCAAAGCCAAAATACGAAAATACAAGTGTATACATGTATATAATTATATATATGAAAAATTGTGTTGTACAGCTATTTGTATCATTTTTTTAGCACTAAACAAGAAAATAGAAGCTTGATTCTAGATCACTCCAAAACCACTGAGATAATGGTAACTGAATATCTATTATACTTATTTTATTATAATATCAACTTTTGATGGTATCAATGATCAAAAATGGGCCATATTTTTACATCTGTGAAATGAATTCCCTGGATATACTTATATTACAATGAATGCTCAGATAAATAGGTATAATACACGTATATGTTTCTAGTACAGATATTAAACTGACATAAAAATAGTTGTGTACATTTCGTAGATAATAGCATAAACAATATAAATCCATTTTGAACCATTTATTTTAATGAAACAGACGAAACCAATTACCATTATCATTTAAATTTCCTTATCTAAAATAAAATAACTCATCGGTGAATTTAAAAAAAAAAAAAAAAAAACTTTCTGAACACTCTTTAAAAATGTCGGTAACTTTACAATTCTTGTCCCAACTTTTGTCAATAATCTATCAGTCATGCAACGCATTAAAAAATCTGAAAACAATGAGCATAGTTATAGTATGGTTTTGTACATGTATTTCGTAATGTACCTTCTAGTGGTTGTCTGATCATGCTGATGGAGTAGGGTTGACAGTCGTCAATTACTTGCAAGACAAGAGCGAGTCTCCATATACACAATAATCCTAGTGATTCCAACAATTTACTATCGATCTACACGACACATAAAAACAGCAAACAAGACTTATAATGTTCCTCACCTGGTTCTGCGTTGTGTATTGGAGTCGTCTCCACCTCTGTTGTTTATACCGGAACTGTGTGTTTTAAACCCCTGTCATGGAATCAGGGTATATTTAAACATGTCTAAATTCGTCGATCGGGTGGAAAAAAACGACTCTGGTCGATGTCAATTGCAAAATGCTTTAAATGTCTATCAATATTTTAAGTTGACTTTGTGTGATCCTAATCAGAACTACAACGTTCCTATGGAGCTGTTGTGAAATCCCAATCTACATACATTGAGCATCTAAATATTTATAGAATGGGGAATGTTGGCATGCAGTGTGTTGGAACAAAAACATAGCCGAAGGAATCTGCTTATAAATAAAAAAAAATGTACGTGTGAATCGGTTTGGAAATTACAGCTGTTCGATTCGTAGATGGAGGAAACAGTATACATTTTTTTAAAAAGTAAAGAATAAGAGTGATGGGAAACAGTACTGTTGCTTACGACAGTATGAAATGTGAATCTTTTTGGTATAAAGGAACCATCTTCTTAAAATGTACATCGTCAATCACCCTGCAGGAATATAAGATAATAGTATGAACTTCGTCTTTTTTTTTTTTTTTGAGAGAGAGAGAGAGAGAGATATGATTTTTTTTTTGTTTCGAACACCCCGAGAAATTACACGATTCGAACACCCTTGCATTCTTGGGTAATTTAAACGCGGACGTTTACTTTGGTACCAAAACCTAACAATCATGACGAAAAAGGTGAAATAAAAAATTATTTTACAGATCCTCCCCATTATATATAAAAACAAGGGAAAATCTGTCAATTTAAGAGCAAACAGGGTTTTCTTTTATTTGTGGAAACAGTTCTGGTATTTCTCACAATGACATGAATTATAAAAACTTCCTATTCTGAAAAAGGTAACAAACCAAGAAAATAACGTTCCCTATAAGCATATGACCAATCTCAAGAAATGGTATTTTCTCCATAAATGATCAAAATTCAAGTACCATGCACATCTTTGATATACAATGTATGTACAATTCATATGCAAAATAAAAATATTCTTATTTTGAAAACTGTAGGAGGAGTATCCGGACAAATGGTGTATCCTATATGCAATATTTTGTTTTCAAAAAAGGACCAAGTTCAACAGCTGGTATTTTTCTCATAAACAAACAAAAAATCAAAATCCCAGTAATACGCACTAATCTGATATGTGTAAAATTGATCCGCAAAATAAAGAAGTCCCCATCTTGAAAACTGTAGGGGGAGTTATCCGGAAATTATGTACCCAATATGCAATATTTTGGAAAAAAAGACCAAATGCATCAGCTGGTATTTTTCTCATAAATAAGCAAAATCAAAATCCAAATACATGTACTATGCATATCTCTTATATATTTACATTTCTAATTGTTTTCTCTGTAATAAATCTTTGAAAGTCAGGCGATTTGATATAAGGAATCACTGTCTAGTTTGTTGGGTATGCCAGGGGCATCAACGACAGTTGGAAATGTGGGATATCCTGATGCCCTTGCATACCAGGCGCGTAGCTGTAGCCAGCATGGAAGTGAAGTGTACGCAGAGAACAACAGTGGGTTGGGGGGGAGGGGGGGGAGGGGGGTTCAACTTTAACAAATCAACATTTTATTAATACATTACCAAATTACCATGATTTAACTATGCTACAACAAAAAAGGGGGGCAACAACCCTCTCAATAAACATTTTCAATAGTAAAAGGTTAGGTATGGAAATAAGTGGGGGCAGGCCACCCCCGTGGCCCCCCTGATACTACGTGCCTGTTGGTGAGGGCCTAGAAGCTCCGAGTTTTACCAAATGTTTCATTCATTTTCTTGCAAAATATAAATCATGTCATTTAGCTTAAATTTGTTTAGAAAATAACACATTATATTAATATTTATTGTTTTTACGCAAAGTTAATACTTCCTTGAATCTTATTGTACATGTAGTTTAGGCTAAATATTTAACCGATATAATTTATTTGTATCATATACTCTTTTTTAACGTTCCAAAACACGTATACTAAATGTTAATTATTCACAGAAAATATCGTATTTTAAATCAGATACTAGTAGATCATAGCATTCAACGATGTGTTTGAAATATAATTTCTAAAAGATCTTTTAAAAAAATTATCAGTTTACAGGCGCGTAGCCAGCATGGAAGTGAAGTGTTCGCAGAGAACAACAGTGGGTCGGGGGGAGGGGGGTCCAACTTTCACAAAACCAAATTTTATTAATACATTACCAAATTACCATGATTTAACTATGCTACAACAAAAAAGGGGGGCAACAACCCTCTCAATAAACATTTTCAATAGTAAAAGGTTAGGTATGGAAATAAGTGGGGGCAGGCCACCCCCGTGGCCCCCCTGATACTACGTGCCTGTTGGTGAGGGCCTAGAAGCTCCGAGTTTTACCAAATGTTTCATTCATTTTCTTGCAAAATATAAATCATGTCATTTAGCTAAATTTGTTTAGAAAATAACACATTATATTAATATTTATTGTTTTTACGCAAAGTTAATACTTCCTTGAATCTTATTGTACATGTAGTTTAGGCTAAATATTTAACCGATATAATTTATTTGTATCATATACTCTTTTTTAACGTTCAAAAACACGTATACTAAATGTTAATTATTCACAGAAAATATCGTATTTTAAATCAGATACTAGTAGATCATAGCATTCAACGATGTGTTTGAAATATAATTTCTAAAAGATCTTTTAAAAAAAATTATCAGTTTATTAAATAACAATTAAAGATTAAGGAATGATTCATTTGGATTTGGCAATGATTTAATAAAGGATTTCAAATTTTATTATATGGTTGTGATGAAATTCAAATCGAAACAGTGTGACACAAATCAATTTGAAACACGGATATTTGTTGGATGGTACTGAACTGAGATTTTTTATACGAATACCCTCTCTCTCTCTCGATCCTATTTTTTTCTCTTGGAAAATGATGTGTACGCACTTGCGTATAGGCAGCTACGCCCCTGCATACCCAACAAACTATAGACAGCGATTCCTTAAACATCTATAGGTAAAACTGATCTGCAAAATAAAAAAAAATTCTCATCTTGAAATCTGTAGGAGTAACCAGGACTGGAGTAAACTTGCAGTTATCCGGACGAATGATGTACCCATATGCAATATTTTGGGTAAATAGGGACTAAGTTCAACAGCTGGTATTTTTCTAATAAATGGCCAAAAATCAATATCCAAGTAATATGAACATTTCTGATACATGTACAATTGATCTGCAAAATAAAAAAAAGTTTCAATCTTGAAAACTATCTGGACAAATGTACCATTTTGGCAGCTGCCCGCCATTTTCACTATTTCATTAACCTTTTTTTCCTGGTTAATACCTCAACACAATCACGAAAACACTCCTTAAAGGTTATGAAACAGCTCGAGAGATACTAATAAACAGAGGACTATCAATATTTATACCTAATGATACAGGCCAAGGAACAAAAGACCCATGGGTCACATCCCTCACCTGAGTTACTTTAGCCCTGCTGTTCTTCAGATTTTTAAGATTTTTATATTCCCTTGAAAAATTGTGACCCATTTCATGGCCCAACCCTAACTCTAAGGGTTTCTGAATCCACAAACCATGAGGAAAATTCAATATCAGTATGACTTACATGGACTTTTCCATTATACATTATGTAAAATTTGATCCTGATTTTTGCCAACTCTAACCCGGGGTCCATAATTAAAAAAAATAAAATAAAATTTTATTTTCATGGGAATGTTTCTGTTGGGTTTCTTTAGAAGATTGTTAACAAAATCTTCTTGTATAGTTCCATGCAAAATTTTGATCCCCTATTGTGGCCCCACGCTACCCCGGGACCATAATTGAACAGTTTAAAATCTACACTACCTCAGGCTGCACCTAAGTTTCATCTTTTCTGGTCCAGTGATTCTTGAGATTTTTAAAGATTTATATATATATATATATATATATATATATATATATATATATATATATATATATATATATATATATATATATATATATACAGTGTATTTCAATGTAAAACTTTAATCACCTACTGAGGCCCCACCATTACCCAGGGGGTCATGATCTGCATGAACAATTTGGAATCTTCAGACAGCTTCCACATATATTTTTTTTTTTTATTTTTTACCTTTTCTCATTTAGCGGGTCTTGAGAAGAAGATTTTTCTCATATATTTCAATGTAAAACTTTGATCCTCTATTGTGGCCCCACCCTAACCCACGGGGGTATAATTTAAATAACTTAGAATCAACACTTCCCCAGGAAGCTTCCACATATAATTTTCAGCTTTTCTGGTCCAGTGGTTCTAGAGAAGATTTTTTAATGACACCACCCTATTTTTTCCTTATCTTGACTATCTCCCCTTGGAAGCAGGTTTGGCCCTTCATTTGAACAAAGAATCTCCTTTACCCAAGAATGCTTTGAACCAACTTTGGTTAAAATTGGCCAAGTGATTCTTGAAAAGTGGTTGAAAATGTGAAAAGTTTACAGATGGACGGACGCGGACGCCTGACAACGGGTGATCAGAAAAGAACGAGCTATTTTGATTGACATAGAAGCTGGATAAAAATGAAAGTTCAATTTGCTAGTTTGAAAAATGGTTTTCGAACCTTCTGGTGGGTATTTCTGCGGTTGTTCATCGATCAAGTCTTGCGTTTCTTAAAAGTTCACTAAAAACGAATTTGCAAAATATTCAGTCCAGTATCTTTGACATTGCAGTTTAATTTAATTAGAAATTAGAATGCCATCTTTAAAGTATCAAGCTGCAAAAATATTGAATCGCAGAAATTACCCGTTGTACAGTGAAATCGAAATTACAATATGATATAATCGAATAAGATAATGCGTTTTTATTGGTTTGTTTGTTGTTTTCTTTATTTTTTTTTGGGGGGGGGGGGGTTGTCAATTTTACAAGGTTTAAGTGACGTGTGATGTGTTTCGTACGAAAGCCTATTAGGATCAAACTACGGTAAAAAAAAATTTAAAAGGCGTTATAACGCGAAAAAGGCGTTATTACGCCTTTCCAAAAGGCGTTATTACGCCTTTTGAAAAGGCATTAATACGCCTTTCAAAAAGGCGTTATTATGCCTTTTGAAGGGCCACTATTATGTCTGTTTACATTTAAACATTTTAAACATGTTTATCATTTAAAAATGATTGAATAACGCCTTTCAATCGACTGTCAATTCGAACTTGCCGTA